CGCCGTGGGGACAGCCAGCCGCTGCAGCCGGGCCGGGGCAGCAGGACCAGGCAGCCCGAGTCAGGAGTGCTGTTTTTTGAAAGTAAGAGCTTGGACCTGGGGCAGTGGCCCCAGTCTGGGTGGCTGGGAGCAGGACCCTGAGCCCAGCCCTGACCGTGGGTGATATTTGGGGTCATATTTAACTGGGCAACTCTGGTCATTTCACTACCCTGAACTGGTCATAATAACGACGGTGACAGTGTTATCACCTGGGCTTAATATTATGGGTGTTAGCCATCACCATCATCATCATCATCATCACCATCATCATCATCATCATCATCATTGCCATCACCACCACCAATTACCATCACCACCCCTGCTAAAGCTACACTGTGCTGTGTGCGCGGCTGGATGCTGGGCGCAGTGTCTACGTCATCTTACTGACCCTTTTCCCAATCACACTGCAAGGCATAGGTATTGATGAATTAGCCCCATTCTACAGATGAGCAGGTTGAGGCCTTCTCACCCTTCCACGCCCGGCCGTATCCCCCATCCCTCTCCTCTCTGCCATCCCACCCTCCCACCTGACCCCTGCAGGGCCAGGCTGTGCCACGGGCTCCCTCTGTGCCGGGGAGCCGAGCCTGTGGGGGCTGGAGCCGTGGCGTGGCCCCCAACACTCAGGCCCCCCTCTTTCCTGCCCCTCAGGTGTGGTCCCTGAAGACCAGGCCCCATATGTCTGTGAAGCGCAAAATGTTTTTGGGAAGGTCCAGGCAGAGACCCGGCTCCTGGTGACGGGACACGGTTCGCTGGTGGATCGGGGGAGGCGGGGAGGTGGGAGGTGGACACCCAGGGAGCCCCCCTCCATGACCACCCATCCTTTGGGACAGATGTGTCTGTGGCCCGGTATCCGAGCGGAGCCAGCTTCCTGGGCAGGTTCCCGGGGGCAGGGAGGGTGGAGCCTCTGTCCCCACAGATGCCCACGGGGATCCAGTGTGACCAGCACCCTGTCCTTCCCCACAGCCCCCCCACAGATCGCCAGCGCCGCCCCCACCGTGCGGGTGCTGGAGAGGCAGCCCGTGTCGCTGCCCTGCATCATCCTGGCCGGGAGGCCCTTCCCCGAGAGGCGCTGGCTCAAGGCCGGCCAGCCAGTGAGTGCTGGGC